ACGTGTGCCGTCATGGTGGTGCTCATTGTCATTGTGGTACGATTTGAGGGATCGATTTGGAAGATAAAGAGGAAAGGAAAGATTCTCGTCGCGGAGGAATCACTAACTCGTATTTACCACGAACAAGGGTGCTAGTAAACTACGAAGTAAATCAAACGCAAAAAGATGCGTCTCACACTACGCCACGTCGCGTCGCGCGTTCTTTAGCCTGCTCGTTATACCGATGCGTGTTATATATCGCGCCGATTTTTTTTATCTCGAACGAACGCTTATCATTGTACCCAGAAAAGTGTCTGATACCATCCGCGTGTCATTGGTACCACCTGTGACTGCGTTTTAAGGATTTCACTTTATCTGTCGCGTGAAAGATGCCCGCTTAATGTTAGTACTACTTATGACTCATAAGATCGGGCTCAAGGATGCGAAATTGTGAGATAAATCGCAAAGGATGCTTTCTTAATTGAATCCGGTGTTAAGCTTTGTTTCTCTTGCAGTCTTTGTGTGTACGGCATTTAAACGTATTTATTCTAGTAAACATATTTATTTTAAGCAGCAGTTATCTTTTGTATGAATTTTATGGCTCCGTTGTTCAGCTTCGGAGTAATAATGGGAAAAAATTTTATTTTACATTTTAGAATTATACATATTTTTATGATTTATTATTGTCATTTTTATATTTTTTCGAAAGTGTTCGTTTTTTGTATGAATGTATATATAGGTTGTCTTCAAATTAGTAATATAGTTGAAAAGAGTGGTTCTTAATGAAAAAATTAATCAAAAATAAAGTAAAAGAATTTTACGCTATCAGAATTATTTCAAGTTAAAAATATATTCCTGTTTAACTTAAATCGTTTTGAGTCTTGGGAAAATGTTTGCGCGCGGGGATAGAAGTGAAATTAGAGACATTCCTTACCCGCGAGAGGTCAAAAGAGAAACATGTGAGTGAAAAACAAATCTCACTTGTCTAGAAAGTCACTGTTCAAGAGTTTAAAGAGCTCTATTGTTTCTTTCGAGTTTTCGTTTCGTTAAATTAGAGTATGAAGTTTACGAGAGGGGATATTTCACGTTCCTCGTATTATATTAAATTTTGTTTGTCCGCCGTTATACATATATTTGGTTCGTAGAATTTTTTATCTCTATATTCGTAAATGTCGGACTGACACACGCGAAGTGTATTTGTTATCTTGCATATTTAGCGACAAACAAATACATGTTATACGCGCGAAGCAATAAATAAGCCGAAAGCTAAATATGGAGACGCAGACATTTAGGAATCGCGACAGTCCGCTTTCGCAAAACAAAGCTTTGCTAAAGAAAACGAAGATGTATGTACATTATTCTTGCGAGTATTGTCAGTATTGATCGTGTTTTAACTACATACATACTCCGTTTGGCGTTTTATCTTAAC